TTCCCTCCCCTGTTTTTCACTGGATTAACAGGGTATAAGTGAACGCTCTGAACTGAACTCTGTCCTCTTGCAAGGACGATTAGGCAGTAGGTTTAGGCATACATGATGCCAAAAAAAGAGTGTAATATTTCTGTTTTGATTATGTTAGCAGAAATTGTGCTGAGTGCACTCTGCACGCTGCCTCTGACTCTATAACCAAGTCAAAAGGAGTTATTCAATTGAGCAAATATAATTAAAGACCATTGTGGGTTGTAGTCTTTTTGCTGTAGATGGATGATGATATTGTTGGGCGATCAATCTAGATGGAATGATGTGAAGTAAAGCGAAATGTCAATAGCCTGTAGCTTTAGTAAATGCTTTTTAATTTGATTTCAAAGTTTTATGCTTTATTGGATTAAATCAGTGTAGAATATGGTTCCAGGGTTTCAGTGTGTTTCTTTCAGCTTCGAGTCTTTCTGTAAGCCTTGTGAAAATGTACTGTTTGATGACAGAAGTTTATGATTAATGCAAATTACTTTTAATCAATTTAATCTTATGTGAAGCACTCTAGTTGTCAAAACTCTAGATGTCAAAACTCTTTATATATAGAGGTCAGGCCATTTCAGCACATATACATGTTAACCGAGATCAGTAAATCAATGTATTAGTAATTTTATTTTACACATGGATAATTTTACTGAATTGGTTCAGAAAACACATTTCAGACTTTTAACTGACTTCGAGTTTAGACCAAAATTCTTTTGCTTTGAATGGACTTTAATGCTTTAATTATGCTTGTTTTATCAAATCAAGTGATTTAACATGCTATTTTGTCACTACCAAAACAATCATAACACTACTGTAACTTTACTAAGTGTTTTGGTAGTGACTGTTGTGGTACTGACAATTTTAGCTAATTTTGAGCATTACCCAAGAATGCTTGCCAGTACATGACTAGCAAACACAGCTTCAAACTATGCACATATAATCATAATATTTTCATATTATTATATATTTCCTGAAAAATCTAAATTTTTCAACTTCACATCAAAAAAAAAAATCAAAGAGACCTTTAACAAAAGAACACTGCAAAAAAAAAAAAAGAAATATAATTATTATTGTCACAAGTTGAAATTTAGGGGTTAGGGTTTGGGACAGCCACCTCCAATAGAAAGTACCCTATAAATTATGATTTTGTATGTTTTTAGCTTATGACTATCTCCAATAATGCCTTGTATGCAAATAGATTATAACAAAATATTTTTAATCGTCTATAGTCTAAATACGTAATTGTTTTTGTTTTTATTTCTTTCTTTTACTGTGTGACCTCAGTTTGAACTAATTCAGTACAGTGATCCATATAGGTTTACTTTTTATCTAAAGCTAATTTAAAGCCTGATGTTTTTCTATGCTTGTCTTCTAATCTACAGAATCAACATTACCAGAATCAGGAGAGAGCGGTTGTGAGGAATAATTGTTTCAGTGTGGAACTTTGGCTCACATGCTGTCCTGCTGCACCACCTGCTGTTAGCTTGAAAAAATATAATAACCATACAGTGTAAGTGTTCACGCCTCTGTAGGGTTTACCTCTTTAAATAAGATAGAAACAGCTGAGCCAGCCACTTTATTTGTTGTTAGCTGAAGGAACAGACTGGAATATGTCGTCCCCTTCGAATTCATGAAGAGATCCAGATTTAAATGCCAATGGTGTCTAAAGAAAGACTGTGAACCTTAGAGCAGTACACTGACTTTCAGAATGAATGTAGACCAAAGACACACCAAAAAGTTACTGAAGCTTGAAAATGACTAAAATCACACCTAATCAAACACACCTGATTCAGCTCATCAGTTAATTGCCAGGTTCAGTAGGTGTGCTAGATCAGGGAAAGCAGTGACTGTTGGACTCTGGCCCTCAGAGACCCACTCTTAAACAGAATGATGAGTCGTGGCATGAAATATAATAAAAATTTGGTTTGCTGTTCATCTAATTTGTTCTTTGCCTGTTTTATTTCCTTTTTCTTGCATTTCTGCTTTTCTTTTTCTTCTGCTTCAGCTATGGAGAGCAGAAAGACAGTAACTGTCAGAAGCTCTCCTCTGCTGCTGGATGTCTTCTGCAGCTGCTCTCTTTAAGAGACTCTATACAGTAGCTTTATTTAGGTGCAGAGGTTCACATTGCCAGGCAATTCAGATCGGGCCCTTGTAACCTCTTTGACTCAGGTGCTGATTTATGACAGGCTGTATTTTAAGTTTCCACTGTATGTCGGCGTTCCACTGACAGTCACTTGTAAAATGAGGCTGTAAAATACAGATAGCTCTGTCTGCATGCTGACCTCAGCTGGGGATACTTCAAAGGCCTTTGAAGTCTTCCACACAATTCTACCCTCCATTGACTACAAGTTGGTAGTCTAACGTCCCTCATAGTCATGAGCTGTTTTATCCATTTTTCCATTTGAGTTCAGACTCTTTATTTTAGCTTATTAGGCCGTTTTCCATCTTGGTTTTCTACTGTTAGATATGATGTAACAATGTAATTTATTTAAATATAATAAATGAAGTGCACCATATTAAGCTAATATGGGCACGCCAGGTAGTTACAGGTAATAACAACTCCATACTATAATTATATTACTACTTGACTCTCAATTTTTCAGAAACTTGTTGTTGAACTAAGTCAAAGACTCAAAAACAATATTTTACAGCATCTTGAGCTGCATTTATATTTATTATTAGTAGTGTTAGTATTAGTAGTATTGGTATTACTATTATTATTATTATTATTATTATTAGTACTAGTAGTAGTAGTAGTAGTAGTAGTAGTAGTAGTGATAGTAGTAGTTGTTGCAGCATGTGAATGCCTTATTCATTAAAACATGAACAGAAATTCATCTGGAATGTTTGATGTTTGGACCAGATTTTTGATGTTTGCTCCTTAAACACAATAATATTTGTAACTTGTGAGAGGGCTCATTTGCATAGCCCTCTGTGATATCATTAATGCAAATCCTAATATTGCAAAAATGCATAAGAAGCTGTGGGAAGGGTTTCATTCCAAAACGCATTGTAGACCAGAGTCAAGGATGTTTTTTTTTTTCATGATGCAGGTGCATGCTGGGAGTTGGGCTACCAGAAATATGTTAATATGCTATGACTCATACCATCTTTACCAGAGAAATAAAAATATGTTTTCTATTATATGTCAACTACTATTCTTTTCAAAAACTTTTAAAAATGTAAAACAAAATAAATAAATAAATAAATAATAAATTAATTCAATTTAAAAGTGTACATATATAGACAAAGAACATTTGGAATGAAACTCTTCACATATTGTGGTGCTGTGGTGCATTATTATAATAATAAAATATTAGGAGAGGGTGCCACCAATGCTGTCCATGTCATATTTTGTTCCTTTTCTTTAAAATCACTTCCTAGAAGTTGAAAAGACATTTTTGTTTAATAACCTTAGACATCCATTAAAATAATCTAATGATAAAAAGTTGGTATATTTTCATTTATTTCTGAAAATATTGTACATTTTATGTAAAAAGGAAAGGAATGATAATGGTGGCCAGAACTGTATGCATGTTTGAAACCTGGGCTGTTACTGACTTGTCCTGTCACGTAGTTCACTTCTGGACCAACAGGTGGCAGAGTTGTGCTATACATGACAAGCTTCTATTGATTTAGGATTACTGGCACTGAAGCATTGTTCACTTGGACTTTGATTTGGTGATACACTTCACACTCAAATTCCACAGCCTTCAGTCAATATAGAAAACAACTTAAGACCTAATGCTGATTAATTTTGATCCAGTTTGCTTTAGAAATAGTAATAAACTATTTTATAATGATGAGGGATTGTAAAGGAAAAAACAATAGCAGAAGTTTATTCCCCCTGTGTAAACACGGTAATGTTATCCTAGCTGTTATCCTGGTATCTTGTTATGAACAATGTTGTCCTTAGATTCCTGCCAAACAGGTGTTAGACAGAAAGAGAGACACACCCAGATCCCCACTTCTGAATGTTTTCCTTGACATTAGACACCTGCACTGCTGACTAATATGTCCTCATTACGTCGTCTGCCATGTGACGTACCGGTTTCACTCTTCTGAGCAAAATGAATAATGGCGATTTCACTGTGTACAAACACAGATTATGTGTAAGATTATTATATTATCACTCTCTTGACCTAGAAAGGTGCACTGTTTTAGAAACATTTATTTGTACCATGTTATTGTTGTGTTTTATCACATATTAGTCACATTAGTTCATCAGAGGTTAATGTCTGTTTGCACAAATTGTGAAGCAGACAATTACAGAAAAAGACACTGAATGAGGTTGATTTGTTCTTGAAAACACATGGCTAAATGGAATGTTGTGTACACATAGAGTGCTGTGCAAAAGTCAAGGATGAACCTTCATTTATTTAATTTCCAGTCAAAGCAGCCATTAAGTACAAGTTTTTTTTTTCAGAAGATAGTTCTGAGGAGATTAGATGTAAGATCATCCAAATCAAAGTGAAAAAACAAGAGTTTCCAAAACTGGATATGGATAAAATAGGATTCCTAAGACCAAGGCAATACCTGGGAGACCACCGAAAGTGTCCCCATCAGATAAATGGTACATAAAGCTTTCATCTTTGAGAGAGAGGTGAAAAACAAGCTCCACTCTTGAGTCTGAAAGGATGTGTAGCTGTTAATTTACAATAAAAAGGAAATAGACAAAAAAGAACAAAATTTGTTAATCAAACAGAGAAGCTGCTGGTGATCTTAGAACAATGGACTGGCCACTGTAGAGTCCAGACCTTAACATCGCTGAACGTCTTTGTTTTTATTTGGATTGTGAGAAGTGGAAAATGCAGCCAGACTGAACATTTGGAGATATCTCTGCAGATTTCTTCAAAAAGCTGAAGGCAAGTCTCCTGAAAACAATGAAATCTGTAATAAAGGCAAAGTGTGGACACACTAAACACTGAAAAAATGTTTATTGTTTTTGGTTGTTCAATATATGTTTTCTGCTTTTTTCTTAGTTACTTGTACTTTATGGCCGTTTTGACTGAAAAATAAACACCATATTAGGGATGCATGTTCAGGATAAAACATCATACCGCCTTAAAGATTGGCCAGCATTAGTTTGCCCAAATTACGTGTCCTGGATGACGTGAAAGACTTTGTCAAAATGCTAATTTGGAACATCTGAGTCTGATCGAGGAGACAGACAATTTAATGAATGGTTAGAGGGCTCATTTACAGATCACAGCCATCCACTATATCAGTATCATAATTGCAATGACAATTAAGAATTAGCATATTGTACAGCACTACAATCCATTAGAATTAGAACGGAAAGTGAAATGAGCTTGACCTCATTGAAGTAGCTTAGTGTAGAAATAAAACAGACCTCTCTTAGAATAAATATATTAATAAATATGATCATTTGTATTCAGCTATGCATTTTTCATAGTACCTCATGAGACTTTTATGTGATTATCTACATATCAGTACCACACAAAGCTCTCACAGCCTTACATTCTTGCTGCTGCAGTGACTCATAGTTGACTGAGGCACTGCTTTTTATCACAGACATTGGCCATAACTTTATAAATTCCATTGATACCTTCTGGATTTACTCAGACTGAGCCATTGTACCTTGCTTTTATTACGCTACCGGCATCTCCAAGGGCAGCAGCAGCAGCAGAGTCTTCTAAGAGGGTTATTTTTCTTGTATCTGGAAGCCATTTTAAATTTCTCATTAGTGGCCATTACATAGTCCTGGGTCTTCTCTACGTTTGCCTGGATGTTGTCAATTTGTGCTCCTTGCTCTTCCACAAGCATGAACACATCTAAAAAGAGGTCCCTCAGGTCCTTCATGTTGCTCTCCAGGGTGAGCAGCTCTTTGTGGCGCTGTTCTATCTCAGACAGCTGCGTGCGAGTGATCTTGAGATCCAGCAGGATGTTCTCGTTGAAGACATCCCACTTGCCCTGCTCCACCATGTTCTCCACTTCTTCTTCTGAAACTTCTCGACCAGACACTTCCAATTGGCGAATGATGAACTGCTTGCACTTGTCTTGCTTGCTGAGAAGCGAGTCATTGTATTGCCGCATAACGTTCTGGAACTGGCGGAAGAGCGCGGCATGCTGGGCCTGCTGGATGCGGGCCGTAGCAGCCGACGGGCCCAGTTCAGCTTCAGAGCGCTTGGCCTGCTTGGAGAGGGCATCTAGCTTCTTGCGCAGGCTCTCTGCCTGCAGCTTGATGTCCCGTGTGATGCTGCTCTCCTTCTTCATGACGCTGAGGCGCCGCATGGTGGCCACCAGGTTCCTTTGCTGCTGGCTAAACTTTTTCACTTCGGCCTCCAGCTCTTCAAGGCCGTCCCGTACACGCTTGGCCTCCTCCAGGAAGTTCTCCAGCACAGGCTCAGCCTCAAACACCACAGCCTGCAGGCCGACAGAAGACACTGGGTCATCCTCTTCATCTTGAGTGAAGTAATTACTCTCCTGCTGTCCCTCATTGTTTTTCATTTGCTGACGCAGCTCCTCTGTGCGGTCCTTCATGGTCCAAGCTCAGAGGGAGAGTCCTTGGTGAGAATGGTGTCAGAGCTGTTTTGAGCCCAAGGTGTGACCCTGTGGGAAATGTTCTCCAAAACGTGTTCTGTAATCAAGCACAAAACAAACAAAAAAATTAGAAAAGGATGCATTTGACTTCCCCACACATATGAGCACACTGCTCACATACACAGCCAGACTCTTTCCAGAAATGCTTGACTGATGTTAACTCTCTTTGAATGGTGCATTGTGGGTTGGACATTTATCAAGAGGTCATTGCACAAAGTGTCTCATTTCTTGTTTATGTCATGGCATCAAAGCATTTCCTTTTACTCTAATCTGATGATCCTACTGTGTGTCCTTTGTGTGGTGAACTTGGAATGCACATACAGTACTGTGCAAAAGTCAGAGACCACCCTTCATTTCCAGTCCAGCCTTTAAAGTAAAGGTAATTTTTCAGAAGATATTTCCGAGGAGATATACAGTGATCCACTTGAATAAGGAAGGAGAAAGTCAAAGGATGATAAGTGCAACAACAGATGTTTCCAAAACTGGAGTTAAAAAACTTAAAAGATGTAAAGAAAATGGGACTCCTACCATCTACGCAAGACCTGGTAGATCACCAAAACTGTAACCATCAGATAAACAAAACTAGAAATCTGTAAAAAATCCACAGGTGAAAAGATGTGTAGCTGTCAAGACGATGTTACTGAGAAAAGATGAGAAAAGTCCAGACCTCAACATCACTGAATGTGTTTGGGATTAGTTGGATTGTCAGAAACAAGAAATGCAACCAACTTCTAAGACTGAATTTTGAAGGTATGGAAAAACATCCCTGCAGATTTCTTTAAAAAACTGAAAGTAAGCCTTCTGAAAAGAATGGAATCTGTGATAAAGGCAAAGGTTAGACACACTAAATACTGAAAAGTGAGATACAGTAAATACAGGGAATTAACTGAAACGTGCTCTCTGTCTTTTGCACAATACTGTAGATACAGTTAGTGCATCTTCTGTTAACTTGTGAACTCACATCCAAAACATTTGTGGCAAAAGCATTTCTGGAATTTTTCTTCTCAATGCTCAAGGCCGGTTTTTAAACATTAATTACATTTAATGTGGAAGAAAAGGTCACATTTTTTCCATTTGGAATTTCCACAACCCAAGCTGAAGATTTATGCCAAAGAAAGGATTAAATGAAAACTCAGCCTGGCTCTAGAAATGAATGATGTTTACAGTTTAGTTCATACATGCCCTTGAACATTTATCATTACTGCTATAATATTTGGAGAATGTTTTTACACAAAGACGCTGTAACTGTAACCATAACCACAACACTGCATTGATTTATTTTATTTTCTACAATGCTTGAGTTGATGTGAGAAGTAGGATGAATAATATGTCTCATATACAGCACAATAAGTACAAATGTGGCATTGAAAATGTGGTGTCATCTTTTAAAGAACATGTGGTGCCAAGTATACGACATTAAATGGAGTAGTCCAAATCAGTGACTATCCAATTACTAGATGGGTTTCAAGCAGGAAAGACTGAAAATGCCTTTGTGTGTGTGTGTGTGTGTGTGTGCGTGTGTGCGTGTTTGGACCACCCAATCCCCTTAGAGGGAAAGCTTATGAATATAAGAGTGGGCTTTGTTCACTCTGTTACTGGGTGAGAGGCCTCCTGAGGCAATGTTACACAGCCAAGAAAACTTATTAAATCTCTTCACAAAATGTTCCAGCATCCAGTTTAAATTGTTCTAGTTTAATGTACATGTGAACAATGTTTAGGTTCTCTTACAAAAATTGTAAATGGTCTGGCACCTCATGACTTGCTCTCTTTCTTTCTGCTTCCCACAGGATCATCCCCTGCCCATGTTTATACAAAGCCTCATAGTGTTGACATACTGTGTCTCATCTGTGTACTGGCATATAAGTCTAAGGATTGACTTTTAGAAGATGCATTAAGTCTAGATAAGTGTTGGTAAATCCACAATTCAGTGCAGTGAAAACTAGTCCATGATGTCATACAAGTTGTAAGAAACATCAACAGATAATATCTTCATGACATGATGAATGAATTCACTTGGTTTTGTTTATTCTCATATATATATATATATGAGAGAGAGAGAGAGAGAGAGAGAGAGAGAGAGATAATATAGATAAGGTTCTCATTCTTAGGCTACTGTATAATCCCATTCTTTCTGTTTGTCCTAAATAAGCATATTCATATCCTATAGCTTTGAGAATAATTTGGAGAATAATGGATTTTGGAATTTTTTGCCATATTTTCTCCATCATAGTTGTATGATATAGATAATGAAAGCTTTTACCTCTTGTTCTGTAGTCCCTGGAGGGCTGAATGACGCTGCATCATGAGCTGCCCTGGATTTCAGCCCACGCTTCAACCCCACCATGGATGTGTTCAGTTATAAGCAGTTCAGTGAAGTAAGAAACAGGAATTTGTAGCAATCAAGATTCCTCAGAGGCATTCTCAGCTCCTGTCTGAATTCAGAGCAACTCCCAGGGATAAAAAATGTCTCCCTCAACTCAGCTTATGTCAGCTATACAGTCCAGACTGCTGGGAAACTGGTAGAGCTAGTTTGCAACCACACCTCCTGTCACCGCTAGAACTCTGTTTAACCAATGGAGAGTGCAGCTAGTGAGGCTTTCAGAAAGGAGTAGGAGTGACATGAAAAAAAGCTCAAAAAGCACCATGCACTGCCTTCTTCCAGGACCCATTGTATGCTAAGACAACAATCAGCTCATCGAACTGTTCTGATTACTTCTGACAGGGTTTAGAATTCCTGGGGCCCTATAGCAGCGGACTCATCACACAAAAGACACTGAGTTAACAGGCATACAAGTCATGACTGGACAGACCTGTTTAAGACGTATCAGTAGCTTAACGGTTCACAGAAAACTGTTACATTTAACACCGTAATGTACTTGTTAGATTTGGGTTTATCATTTGTGTGGCCAGACTGCTTTGAATGTGATGACATTTTGAACTTATTTACTCTTTAGATTTTTAAAAACTTCAACTTATTTGTAGTCTGTATTGTTCATTTATGTACAGTGCTGTGCAAAAGTCAGAGACCACCCTTCTGCTTCCAGTCAAAATACAAGTTATCAATTTTCATTGTCAGAAAAATAGAAAACTATTTGTATATTTAACTGAATATACACAGAAGCCTCCATTTTAAGTTGTCCATTCTTTACGCTTGTGCACTCTTCTGCCACTTTTCAGTTTCCAAAACTGAAGTTCAAAAAGATCAAAAACTGAAAAGATGTAGAGATAATTGGACTTTTAACAACTGTGCGAGACCTGGTAGACCACCAACTCTGTCATCATCAGATAAACAGTACTTAAAGCTTTCATCTTTGAGAGAGAGGAGAAAATCAAGCTCCACTCTTACTTTAGATCTGAAAAAATCCACAGGTGTTTCTGTCCATCCTTCCACTGTGAGAAGACAACTCAACACTGTGAGTCTGAAAGGATGTGTAGCTATAAAGAAGCCATTACTGAGAAAAGTAAAATAGACAAAAAAAGAACATTTGCACTAGAATACTAAAACTGGAGTAAGGTTTTATGGACTGATGGGTCTAAATGTTTTATTAAGATTATTTGGATCATGAGAAGCAGAAAATGCAACAACTTCTAAGACTGAACTTCGGAGGTGTGAAAAAATGTTCCTGCAAATTTCTTTGAAAGACTGAAAGTCTCCTGAAAAGAACGGAAGCCATAATAAAGGCAAAGAGTGGACACAATAAATATTAAGCATTTGTGATATTATGTTAAAAGCTTCTGTTGGTCATTTTGACTGGAAATTTGAAAAATGAAATTTTGTCTCTGACATTTGAACAGTGTGTAGGAATTCCACCACGACAAATTTCTCACAGTCAAATATACTTGGCCAATTATTCTAACTCTGAATTTGATTCTAAAAAAAATCTAAAGACCAAAGAACAAATGCTGCCACTTGACTGCTTCTTTTTGGTTGTTCATCACAAGTTCTTGTCTGTTGTGAATGACAATTAATATCGTTGTTTAATCACAAGTAATTATGCAACTTTCATATAACGTCAAAAGATGAGGCAAGAGAAAAAAAACAATTACTGAAATGTCTGTTGAAGAAGCAGCTGTATCTAACACTGTTGGATACCTTCCAAGAAGCCCCTCTTTGACTCCTCAGCACTATCACTAGTGTTTATACAGCATATGTGTGAAAGAAAGCAGGAGAAGAAGGAAAGACACAATAAAACCAGACAGATACAGCACAGATTCCGGATCTGAGTGCTTTTGTTTCTTTTAATGTGAAGGTCTGTGTGCTTTGAAAACTCAGGACTAAAAATTCTACAAAGGTGGTCTAAAGAAAAAGCAGGACACAGTATCTGTGTATCATTTAAAGACCTTAATTAATACTCTCTGTTTTAGATCAGTGTGGGAGGGGAATGTACTTTCAAAATGTGCAGGAGGCAAAACAAGCAGAGCTGCTGCTTCTCCTGGGTCGGGGGGGTGGCGGGGGGGTGCTGGAGCCTACCCCAACTCTCAGTGGGTGGAAGGCAGGAAACAACCTGGACAGGTCAGCAGTCCATTACAGGATGCATATTCACAACAGGGGCATTTAGTATATCAAGTTCCACTGCATGTCTTTGGACTGTGGGAGGAAACCCACGCAGACAAGCAAACTGCACACAGAAAGGACCCTGGTCACCTGGCCAGGGAATCAAACTCAGGCCTACGTGCCTTAGCAAGCAGAGCAGCAAAGTGAAATACATGGTTCTTTGTCCAGGTCTACCTAACCACTCAGCAACCCCAATAAAGAGAAGTGAAAAAATAGTGGAGGGTACATCAACCTATGAGAAAGCAATGAACTTCTGCATGAGCTGGGTTGCTTTACCCTTGGACAGGCACCCAGGCTTAAAAGCCAAAGACATGCCAACTTCCCCAAAATAAACCCCCACTTAAATAAACTTTTCTGCCTTGGTCTGGTTTCAGCCCTATCATCTAGTCATAGTGATATGGTGAACTGTTAAATGAATGGTGAAATGGTGGAGGGAAAAATGTAAACAACGATGAAGTGTAAACAAGCTCAGACCATCTTAAAAGGTCTACGAAGCATTAAATGATCATAGTGTTTAAAATGATCTGTGACATGTTTACACTTTCAGGCACAAACACATACACTCACACACACACACACACACACACACACACACACACACACACACACACACACATACCCATGCACAGAGTAAGATGTCTGGCCTGAAGGTAAAGTGGAATGGACCTACACTAATGCTACACTAATTTCACCATTCTTATAAGGAAACCACCAGCCAAGAGAACAATAAAGGCTGAGACAAAAGAGAATCCGGCCACGTATACTTACACAGGAAGCAGGAAATTCAAAAATGGAACTCCAAGGATTTTGCTCCTATAGCAACAATTTCTCTTCCCACATTAACTTTGATGAGCAGAATATAATTTCATATACACTGAAACAGCAGAGCCCTTACAGTTTGTCTTGAAGACTATTGAATTCATAACATTGATATAACCATGGCATAAGCATAATGGCAGAAGGAACATACTACCATGAGTTGTCATTACAGATTATGTCCAGCAAGTGTCATATTACCATGGCTGGTAATTGACAGAAGCTAAAATGTTTGATGTCATGAAGTCACTTGATAATTCTTGCTGTGTACTCTAGTCATGTCTTATGACAGATGTTATGGTACTATATGGTCTTATATTGTATTAGAATGTAAAGGTATTATAGCATACGACAGTCATAACTTTTCACAACATCATAAAAACCCACTGCCGTTGAGCTCTGATGTATCAAAACTCATGTTTCATTTCACAATTAACGCTATAACACATGTAAATTACAAAATGATTACCTTATTTAAAGTTAGGCCAAGCTGTATACCATCTTCTTTAGTGTTCTTCTCTTTAATGTTCCAAATTGTTGGTGATTTAATAAAATCCAGAATTTGTTTCCCCAATTTTTTATTCAAACCCAACCCCCCACCAAAAAAAACCCAAACCGAAATAAAAAAATAATAAATGAAAATAAAAATAAAAAAACAAGATGTTAACTGATATGTGGCTCAGAAATCAAGGTCTGAACTGAACCAGGGATTTTGAGAATCGCTACACCCCTATATTAAAAACTTGGTCATACCATGCCATAAACATGCCATGATAGAATTCATGACGTACTGTGAGAACAAGATGTTGTAAAGTTCAAATTAAATATTGTATCACATTTACAGCAGATATTTGTACTGTGTTTGTACTGGAAGTGTTGTTTTGAAATGAATTAATCACGTATCTGTCACAGATAAAATAAGAGAATGGTCACTTCACTAATAACACAGTGTAAATAACCAGCAAAGAGTGAAAAAGTCACAGACCTTGCTTGTGACTTATATATATATATATATATATATATATATATATATATATATATATATATACATATATACAATTATATACAACTGCTGTTGTAATAGCAGGGTTCTAATAAAGTGTTACAGACCACACTGTCGACAGGACTGAAGGCAGGATTCGCTTAAAGAGGAAGCAGAAAGTGTACTGAGAGTAAACAAAGGCGTGACTGAGGACTGCAGCACCACCATAGCCCTATGGTGACTTAACCATAATACAAACCTATACATATATCACACTCACATCTCTTACTGCACACCTGCTTTACAAGCAATGTACATAGTAATGTGATCAGGGATTATTCAATCATCTTCAAATGAGTTTTTAAGTACCAAATTAAATAATCTGCACACTTAAAAATGATGGTTCTTAAAAGGTTCTTTAGTAAAGAAAATGGTTCTGTATAGAACCATGAACCCTCAAAGAACCCTTTTCATCATCAAATGGTTCTTTGCATTGTCTCAATGCCCATCAATTTTAAGTGTGTGTATCTATCCATCCATGCTACGTAGTTCTTCTTGTGATGTTAGTTGCTACAAATATCAGTAACTGTATGGTAAACGTTAAACAATACAAGTAACTGTGAAATACATATTTCTTTTCTTCTTCTGATCATGTGGAAATAATTGCAAATCATTAGACTTCAGTGGGACATGAGTGATTAACAGCACTGCATTGTTCAGTAAGCACTGTTGCCCATGAAAGCACCAATTATGAGGTAGTAAACACCACCTCCTGCTGACCATACTAGGAAAATGCTCTGCAGACTGATTCAATTCTACATGACTCCTGATCTGTCCCGTAAAGGAATTCAAGGTATTGGTATCTTCTGTGTATGTCCTGCATTTGACTAAACAACAGACAGACACCATGAACAGTAACATTCATTTTATTATCAAGGATCAGAAAAGATAACAATTACATGGTTATATTATTATATTAGTGCTCTTGCATTACACCTATTGATCACTGTTTTCTAGGATAGGGCTCTGCGCTCCTTTTGGTTTCTCCTGGGTGGTCTGTCCTTTTGCCTCCTCAGACAAGTTCCAGCCTTCAAAGGAAGGAAAAAATCTACTGTTAACTTACAGACAAACTGTGTGGACTCACTCAATTCTGAAAGCAATTATTCAGATAAAAATCTACACAATTGTCCTTAAATAT